TTTTTTTTTAAACAAGGAACTTTCCCATGGCAGGATGGACACTGAAACTATTCTCGGTCTTTTGTCTTATGTGTCTATTTAAACTGGGTACTGTATTATGCAAAAATGGAACTGAGGCAGTATGGAACACAGAGCGTGTCCTTTTAAGAGGTGATCTTCGGGCTCCCCTGGTGGCGCAGTGGTTGAGAGTCCGCCTGGTGATGCAGGGGACACAGGTTCATGCCCCGGTCCGGGAAGATCCCACATGCCGCGGAGCGGCTGGGCCTGTGAGCCATGGCCACTGAGCCTGTGCGTCCGGAGCCTGTGCTCCGCAGCGGGAGAGGCCACAACAGTGAGAGGTCCGCGTACCGCAATAAAAAATAAAAAAATTAAAAAAAAATAAAAGAGGTGATCTTCTAATAGTAAGACCTAACCAAAAGCTGCTATTTTAAAATTATCAATGAGGGACTTCCCTGGCAGTCCAGCGGTAAAGAATCCGCCTTCCAATGCAGGGGACACGGGTACGATCCCTGGTTAGGGAACTAAGATCCCACATGCCGCAGGGCAACTAAGCCCGCGTGCCACAACTACTGAGTTTGCGTGCCTCAACAAGACAGCCCGTGAGCCACAGCTACAAAGCCTGCGCGCCCTGGAGCCCGCGGGCCACAACTAGAGAGAGAAAACCCACATGCCACAACTAGATAGAAGCCCAAGCACTGCTACAAAGAACCTGCGTGCCGCAAAGAAAGATCCTGCATGCCTCAACGAAGATCCCGCATGCAGCAACTAAGACCCGATGCAGCCAAATAAATAAATAAATAAAAGGGAAAAGCATTTTTAAAAAATAGATAAAATTATCAATGAAAGATATGATGAGGATGAGAAGCTCAGTGAAGAAGTGAAGGCAACCATACATAATATGAAAAAGCACCCCAGGGGATTTTTGGGTCACACCCTGCCTACAGCCCCTAGTTGAACACCTAGAAGCTCTAGAAGATGATGATGACTACAATATATTATGTTTGGTTCTTGAAGCTGAGTCCTGGGCTCACGTATGTATTCAACAGTGATACAAATCATCAAATAGAGAAAAGTAGAAAGATAATCATTCCAATTCACTGTTTTATCAAAATGAATAGAAAAGGGGAAAAATAGGTTTTATTGGAGCCATGCCTTTCAGTTATAAATGGAAAATGGATTGATTGATTGATTGATTGACTGATTGATATATCATCTAACACTCTGCATAGCACATGCTACAAGGTGGGATAAAGTTGTTCATAACTACAAAAGTGACGGCCCTTGCCCACAGCGACTCAGAGGTAACTGGGCTAGAGATAGTGCTCCAAAAAAGGGCCGTTCATTCACACTCCATGGAAACAGAGTTTGGCCAGACTACTGATATGAACTGATTCTGGAATTAACAGAGGATGGTATGCTGCTGTGACCTATGCTCAATATCTCTCCAGTTGGAATTAGCAAGTTCTCCTCACCTAGAGAGTATGGAAAAACTCCTCAATTCTAAGAGATCTGCAATTCTGAATACTTAGGGTATACTTTGCTAATCCAGTTTTGTCTCTACTACCTAGCTATTTCAGATGTAAGAACTCGTTTAGAAAACTACAGATCTCTATTTCTTTTCCAACAGTCCAAACATCTACTCCCAAAAATATGGGGGTTAGAGGGAAAGGAGAAAATGCATTACCATGAATAATACACAATAATTTATTTACAATGTTCCATTTAATTTTATATGAAAAAAAAATGTTAGTCACTTTGGCCATCCAAGACCAACTTGCCTTTCTAGAGTAATCACTGGAAAGTCCTATGTGCCCTGTGTTGTACATGACTCTGCCTTTGCCCACTCAGTGGCTACAGGTAGTTGAATTAATGTCAGGGACCTAGGTAAGGCTGGACTGACCCAAACAGATTCTCTCTTTAAATGATTTGAACTAGGAGACACAAAGACTCTCGTCAGATGATGATGGCCATTTAAACCTAACAGTTAGGGAGAGCTAGGGGCCATAATTTTCCTCCATGTACGTACAAAGGAGTAAAAAGAGAAAGCCACCTTGCAGAAAGAAATGAGAAATGAAAAAGCTCAAAAATATGAGGAGCAGAGAAACTATGGGGCTTCAGGAGAAAGAGATATGGAAAAGAAGTGACTTTCTTGTGAGAATCGGCTATACTTGCTGGTTTTCATTTCTGTGAGATTCCTTTATGCTTTCAACAAACCCTCTTTTTATTTGAAATGCTTTGAGAGGGTTTGTGTTGCAGGTAGCCAGAGAGTTTTGATGTAAACATGGGATTTATATCATAGAGCAGATGGGGAAAGAGGAAGCTCAAAAGAGGGGAGAATAAAATGAAAGTTCCCTTGACCCCAGGCCTGGCCAAGTGCAGACAGGGAAAGGCAAATGGGGGGCTCTGAAGTGAAAGAACTATGGTTTGCAGGAATCTTTGGCTTTGCTTTTGTTTGGCTTTTTTTCCTTTTTATTTTTTTATTGAATTATAGTTGACATACAACATTAGTTTCAGGTGTACAACATGGTGATTTGACATTTATATACATTACGAATTGATCACCATGATAAGTCTAGTGACCATCTGTCATCATACAAAGTGACTGCAAGGTAATTGACTATATTCCCTGTGCTATACATTACATCCCTGTAGCTTATTTATTTTATAACTGGACGTTTGTACCTCTTAATCCCTTTCACCTATTCCGCCCAACCCCCCCCCCCCAACTCCCTCCCCTTTGGTAACCACCAGTTTGTTCTCTGTATTTATGAGTCTGTTTCTGTTTTGTTTGTTTTGTTTTATAGATTCCACATATAAGTGAAATCATATAGTATTTGTCTTTCTCTGTCTGACTTATTTCATTTAGCAAAATACCCTGCAGGTCCATCCATGTTGTTGCAAATGGCAAGATTTCATTCTTTTTATGGCTAACATTCCATTGTGTATATGTATATCCATTTGCCTATCAATGGATACCTAGGCCGCTTCCATATCTTGGCTAAATAATGCTGCAATGAACATAGGGGTGCATATATCTTTTCAAATAACTGTTTTCGTTTTCTTCAGATAAATGCCCAGAAGTGGAAGTGCTGAATTGTATGGTAGTTCTATTTTTAATTTTTTGAGGAACCTCCATACTGTTTTCCATAATGGCTGTACCAATTTACATTCCCAGCAACAGTGTTCGAGGGTTCCCTTTTCTCCACATCCTCAACAACACTTGTTTTTTGTTATATTTTTGATAATAGCCATTATGACAAGTGTGAGGTGATATCTCATGGTAGTTTTGATTTGCATTTCCCTGATGGCTAGTGATGCTAAGCACCTTTTCATGTATCTGTTGACTACCTGTATGTCTTCCTTGGAAAAATACCTATTCAGGTCCTCTGCCTATTTTTTAATTGAATTGTTTGGGGTTTTTTTGATGTGTGATTTCTTTATATATTTTGGATATTAACCCCTTCTTAGACATATCATTTGCAAGCATCTTCTCCCATTCAGTATGTTTTTTCATTTTGTTGATGGTTTCCTTCAATGTGCAAAAGCTTTTTTGTTGGGGACAGCCCCATTTGTTTATTTTTGCTTTTGTTGCCCTTGCCTGAAGATCCAAAAAGATATACTGCTAAGACTAATGCTAAGGCAGCATACAAGAAGCATACTTCTTCTAGGAGTTTTATGGTTTCAGGTCTTACATTTAGGTGCAGAATGGCAGACTGGATCTGTAACCAAGTCAGAAATCTGAGAAAGAACAATGCTACTGGACTACAGGAACACTTGACCTTGATGTCTTGAACATCACTTCCTAAACCTTTAGCTGACTAGCATAGACTATGAGAAATATATTATCGTGTTTACCTTGGAATTACACTTCCCCAAAGGTCAATTTTTACATGGTAACATTCTCATTCAAAATGTAAACAAGGAATGCCATTAAAGAAATGTTATAGACAGAAATATAATGTTTATAATGTTATTTGCAGAATAAGACTGAATATTAAGGGGAATTGTAGAGATAAAGGCTGATCAAAATACAATTACTTCGAATGTTATCACATTCAAATATGAACATAATCAAAAGGAAATGAAGAATTGTAGTTATGGTTCTTTAGATGGAAAAGAGCCATACTTTGAGTAATTCAATTTTACTAATTAGAGTCTCTTGAAACACGAGATATGAGATTATAGAACAATCTTAATTTGACAGACTTAAAAGTATTTAAACTCCCTAAGCTTTCAGTACCAAACCACTTTAGTAATTCAATTTTACTAATTAGAGTCTCTTGAAACACGAGATATGAGATTATAGAACAATCTTAATTTGACAGACTTAAAAGTATTTAAACTCCCTAAGCTTTCAGTACCTAAACCACTTTAGCTGAGTATTAATTTTTTTTTTTTTTCTCTTCCAATGATGCAATAGCAAAGGGTAGTTTAGGACATTTAGCCATCTTGTTCTAACAAATAACCAATTCACCTTTTTTTCCCAGTATATTCTTACGTATTGATTTTACCAAGTGAACTCAGACATCTGTCACACTTATCCAATACAGATCCTTTTCCTTGGAAATGTAGTTATAACATCAATCAGTCACCTGGCCTTTCACCTCTAATTCCTATTGCCACTGTCTGTCAATTATTAAAGCTTGTCCATTTCTCCAAATAAGTTATTTTTAAAAACTGAAATACACAGTGACTCCTGTGAAAAAATATATGTTTCTTAGAAAAGCATGTAAATGTTCATGATTAAATTTCTTCATTAAAATTACTTTTTTGGGTTGAAAACTAAAGTTTATAAACCCATATTTCAAAGACTTCTAGATATTTTCTTTTAGAACATATTCCCTGAATGGTAGTATTAGCACTTGTAATCCAAACTCCAGTTTGAGGAAGACAACACAAAAAGAAATCCAAGCTGAGTGGCATTATTACAAGGGTCTTCAAATGGAGCAGAGTGTTTTGTCTCTGGCTGAACCCATTTAGAGTCACAGAATGACACCCACCTTGAGCTGCAGGCCTCCTGGGATAAGAGTGTTTGCTGAAAGGCTTTTAATGTGTTCGTAGACATAAGAGGAGAATTGCTCCTGCTCAGCCTGTAATTGGGGGCCAAGTTTAGAGAGATGACCTCTGTTGCTTTTGATAGCTGTCTGCAATTCATCAATCAGCCTGTTCACCTGGAGGGGTTAAATTACAAGAGTTGTTAGCAAGAAGTAATTGTTGATGTCACACCTATTAGATTTTTGAGTACTTAGTTTGATGTGGGGAAGATGACTTCATTATAAGAATTTGAGGCGATATATACATTCCTTCATCAACAAATTTTATTTATGGGAAAATTTCTAACTTTGTACTTCAGTAATATGGAATAGGTACCCATTTACAATTGCTGAATAAAAACTGTCTCTAGATACAAGAAGAACCATATACGTTGACAAGTTTGCCAAGGACTTTTAAACTGCTTAACAGAATAAGACCTCTCTAAGACTTTAAGTAATCCAATACATGTGCCAATGACAATATTTAATTCTATTACATGTACCTTCCTTTTAAGAATATTTTATTTTACCATCTGTATGTTACCTTTAAAATTTGTAATATGTATATTAAATTCATTAACATTTTGTGGCCTTTTAAATGAATCAGTCTGTTCTCTTCCTTCCAAATACTTTAAAATATAATTTTCCAAATTTCACAAATACAATTTTTCAAAATATCCATACTTCAAAGACAATGCTCTATTCTAGACAATGTTTTGAATATATACAAATTTCTGAAGAATGCATAGAGTTTTTCCAGAAACAGCAAAGGCTTAGAAACATGTACCTTTTATATTTAAATTTATGGATTTCTAATCAGAATATTTAAGAGACATATGAACTTGACTTACAGGTTATTAGTAAGACATACTGAAGACTCAAAAATAGTAAGCTAATATTTTAACCCTTATAGTTTACAAATTAAAAATCATTACAATTCTTTGACCCTTCACTGTGTTATATAAACTTACATTCTCTCTAATAGATTGGATTCTTACATAAACACTGGTCGATATATGGTAGTGACCAAAAGAGATGAAAAGAGGAAATTCTCTTTATCCATGATCTTTAAAGACTCATCTAGAATTATGAATGACTGTGAACAGGGCATGGATTTTTGAAATCTTGGGTTAAAATGCTGGCTCTTTCATTTACTGACTGAGAGACCTTGAACAGGTAATAAAAAAAACCTCATTCATAAATGAAGAATAATACTGACCTTACCATGTTAAGAATTAAATTAGATTAAAGAATGGACAGCACAATGGCTAACCTATAATGCCGCATGTACATGGTATATTATTACAGTGTTTTCATTTTTAAATAGAGTAGTTTTCTGCAAATCAAGTTTTAATTGTTTTTCTTGGCCTTTCTTTCCTATTCCTACCACTAATTTCACATGAAGAAGATAAAAATTTGAAACCATTTGCTACATAGATTCTCAACCTCACTTGTGTCCACAGATAAAATGCAAACTCCTTCTCCAAGAGTCTCCCATGTAATGACAGCTCATTGTCTTTCTATCTCTCTCAGCTGAAAATATGATATTTGCCCCTACCAACTCTGATGTTAAATCTGTGATTTCTATCCCTTCCACAGAGGATTTCAGGGAAGTCAATGAAGGTAAGTTTGTACTATTATACATATGACTTGAATATTTACTTTTCTACTTTACCTAATTTGAAATATATATATAATAATATTATGTATATATATATATATATATATATTACTTCAACTATATTTAACTTTTCCCAAGAACTTTAGAAGCATTATATGCATATAAAGCTAATTTAAATGATTCCTATTTTTCTTCTCTATAAGACTTCTTCTCTATAAGAGCCAGATAATATTTTCAGTTTTGTGAGTTATAATGTCTCCATCAAAACCATTCGACCCTGCAGTTGTACTTTGTAAGCAGCTGCAGACAATATGTAAACAAATGGACAAGGCTGTGTTCCAATAAAACTTTATTTAGAAAAACAAGCAGTGGGCTAGATTTGGCCCCAGGGCTGAAGTTTATCAACCGTTCTAAACACATATATTTCCTCTCCTTCCTTTCTTTTCTTATAAGTAATACTCTGGCCAAGCCTTCATCTCCTCATCCCCTCCTGCTACTGGTATTACCAATATACCTACTGAGTGGCCTCCCTGTCCCTAGTCTCTCCCCCTGTAATCCATCGTGACATCTCCACCTAATTAATCAACCTTCAATAGTATAATGAACCTTCAAGTAGCTCCCCCCCCACTGCATTCCTCATCTTGCTATTCAAGATTCAAGACCTTTTCTTACTTTCTAGAACAAATTTCTATGCTTTCCACAGTACAGTTAACCCTATAAGAAAGTCATACAGCTTAAAATATGGCAATGATGGATGATTCAATATTAGTCAATGTTTTTCATCCTTATCTTTACATACTACCTATTAGCAGTATTATCCTCAAAGATGATGGATAATAGTATATTCTACATACCAAAGCTAGAGACCAAAGCAGACCAAGTAACTTGCTCTTATAGGTATGTGACAAAATTAAAATCTAATATCCAAAGGCCTTAAATAGAAAGAGTCTACTTCTGGAAAGCACTGATCCTCTCTGAACCTATACCCAGCATCATTTGATTCAAGAAGATATAATTTTATGTAGTCTTTAAAATATACTAAGTATCATGCAATGTATTTTGTTAGTCAATAATACTGCTCTCTTTAATTTTATGTACTGTACCTAGTGCTACAGCAAGCCACCAAAAAAAAAAAAAAGGACAAATTTCAGGCTTTGATTTGAGAGCATCTTTATACGACTTGCTTTACTGTCACAATCCATAGCCTTTCACTGATAGGGAATTTCATGTGACATCAGAAATCAACCATACAATTGATGATGTCATTTGCATTCTAAAGGGCTATTGGTTAAAACCTTAAAAGTTTCGGGCTTCCCTGGTGGCGCAGTGGTTGAGAGTCCACGTGCCGATGCAGGGGACGTGGGTTCATGCCCCGGTCCGGGAGATCCCACATATACCCAGCATCATTTGATTCAAGAAGATATAATTTTATGTAGTCTTTAAAATATACTAAGTATCATGCAATGTATTTTGTTAGTCAATAATACTGCTCTCTTTAATTTTATGTACTGTACCTAGTGCTACAGCAAGCCACCAAAAAAAAAAAAAAGGACAAATTTCAGGCTTTGATTTGAGAGCATCTTTATACGACTTGCTTTACTGTCACAATCCATAGCCTTTCACTGATAGGGAATTTCATGTGACATCAGAAATCAACCATACAATTGATGATGTCATTTGCATTCTAAAGGGCTATTGGTTAAAACCTTAAAAGTTTCGGGCTTCCCTGGTGGCGCAGTGGTTGAGAGTCCACGTGCCGATGCAGGGGACGTGGGTTCATGCCCCGGTCCGGGAAGATCCCACATGCCGCGGAGCGGCTGGGCCCGCGAGCCATGGCCACTGAGCCTGCGCGTCCGGAGCCTGTGCTCCACAGCGGGAGAGGCCACAGCAGTGAGAGGCCCGCATATCGCGAAAAACAAACAAACAAACAAAAACAACCTCAAAAGTTTCATTTCCCGTAAATTCTTCATTGCTTCAAAAAATTTCTCTATCATTTTTGCCATTTTCCTTGGCCCCATGATTATCTGTTAATGTATGTGAAGCATAATCATAGCAATCATGGCCTGTATTTTTAATAACTTAAAACTATCAAACAAGATGCCCTAGTAAAGATTAACTTATATCTTAAACGTAGGAGAAAATATATCAAGAATCCTGCCACTGACATTTTGATGAAGTTTCCAACCAATTTTCCTCAAACTTTGTTACTTTAAAAATTCATAAGGAGATAACCAACAAGGTCCTACTGTATAGCACAGGGAACTATACTCAGTATCTTGTAATAACCTTTAGGGGAAAAGAATATGAAAAATAATATATATATGTATATGACTGAATCACTTTGTTGTACACCTGAAATTAACACAACATTGTAAATCAACTATACTTCAATTTAAAAAAATGCTTTTAAAAATTGGAAAAAAAAATCATAAGGTCTTTTATTCTCAAAGCGCTACATTTTATGTGTTACCCTGAAAGATAACGCTATGCATGAAATAACTCATATACCAAAATCGGATAGGTAAAACAATACTCCTGAATTATATTACATGATATGATTTTTTTTTCAAATCACAGATGTTGCTAAAAGGGGGGAAAATGTTCTTTAAAATTCTTCATCATGAATCTTTTTTTCCTGCAAATCCTTTTTTTTTTCCTCTCTACAAAGGCAATGTGAATGGGGGCAAAAGAAGACAAAACTTGACCTTTTGTGATCCCAGCATTAATGGGTCTGTTCATAATTCAATCTATGTGTGTGTGGGAGCATCCATGTGGAAACATAGAGGCCTGAGAGACATAAAGCCTTTCCCTTTAAACATTATCTGACCCTATCAGTCCCATTCACAAAAGAAGGCTTACGTATGCATATGTTGAAAAAATGCACCATCTCATTGTGCAGCAGAAAGCCTACACATTCTACTCTTCATTCTCTGTAGAAATGCAGCACGGAAGTGACACTTGTACAGAATTTGGGAGAGTGACAAATGAGCAGGAGGTAGCAAAAAAAAAGAAAAAAAAAAGAGTATTCTGGTGAGGAAAAAAACCAAACTTCTGAAAGAATGCAAATGCACACCTGTCTATAAACATATACATAGACTTTTGCATAAGATGTAGGGCATTTTGGTCATTCATGCAACCCTTGAATTTAGTTGAATTCTCAAGATGATTTAGAGTAAACACAAAATATTATTCTGTTTATAATCATTCTAAAATGTATACCTATCAAAGTTGTACACTCTGAACCATACGTTGTGAATACTGTATTTTAACTATTATGGATGACTCTTTGAGGAGCTCCTGGTTTTTCTAGTGATGAGTTCAGCTGTTGACCTGAATGTTATGTGGCCTGGAGTCCATATATGTTAGTGAGGAGACTCCAGAGCACTTTATACTGAACTGTCACTTGAAATCAGCACAAAGGGTGGCAGCCTCCATGCTAGGAACATCATCTTGACATGCGGCATATGGGATAGTCTCGAAGCTGGGTCAGTGCTTAAACTTGAGACCAAGACACTTTCTAATTTACAGCATAGTTAAGAAGAACCAGAAAGGGGACAGGGAGATAAAAATGGGTGTTTTAAACTCCCTAAAGTCTCTTACTTGGTTCAGGCCCAAGGGTACAATGTTTTTCAGGTTAAGAAGTGAACATAATCAGACTTGACAAACAAAGGCTAGAAAAGACATAGGAATCTGTGAGCAAAATTAAGTATCTCTTAATCTTAAAATTAAGGATGAGCTGCAGTGTAACCACAAGGAAAACTGAAGTGTGTACCATCTCGTATTCCAATCACTTCCACTACTCCCAACTTTCTAATAGATTTCCAGACCCCTTCTGAGATGGAAGTTATTTTGGAAAGAGATCTATATTGTTTCCAGCCAGGGGTCACTTATGTGCTGCCTTTAGGCCTATTTGAGTCCAACATCCCCATCAACTCATGGGGGAAGGGGTGATTGAAAATAGAGACATGTAAAAATACCTTTATAACTCATCTGGCAAGAGGGGTATGATGATGGCAATAAGGATGATGTCAAGTATACTTTTGGAGGAAGCAATAAGTATGCACTTCACAGACCTCTGGCTACAGGAGCATAATTGACCAAGGGTCCAAGCTATTATGCTCTTACACCCATCACCAGGTTGGCACCAATGGCCAAGGATACTAAAGCAGGTCCAACCCAGGGAGTCACAAGACTCCTCTGATGGACAACTTTGACTCAAGGATACGTCAGCAGCTTTGCCAAACCCTCCTTAGACTGCACAACAGTCTAGGATACCTCCACCCAGTCTTCCCTTCCTCTCTCCTTCACTCATGTTCAAGCCTGCATTTCAAACTGACAGGTCTCCCAGCCTTACCTAGAGCTCTCCCCATTTTCTCTCACGGCATTTCTTCTATTAAAATCCATACATATTTTTGAAAATTCCATACTGGTGTCAACTTTTCAGAGAATCTGGAATAACACACTTTTAAACTGACAAAAAAATTACACACAGATTTCCAGTAGACCATTTCTAAAAAGCTTGATACAGTTCAACATATACCATCACATCAAAGTAGTCTCGTGATGCATACGTTATTATTCCGTTTTCATGTAGAAAAATTACATGAAATAAAATAAGATTTTAAGATAAAAATACAGACAGCAGATACCTAAATCTAAATCTCAGATTTCACGATGTTTACTTAAGGTTTTGAAATACGTCTAGAAATATAGTATTTTGTAAAAAAACTGTGGGCAAAATTAAATGTTGGAGTAATCTCCCCATCCCCACATTTTTCATTTCTTTTTACCATCATGATTTCACATCTCTGTATAGGAATTAGGCACAAAACTTGATGTCACTGACTTACACATCAAAATTAATAAATCACTTTCAAATTAATGATATAAAAATTATTCTCATAGTGTATGGAATATATTTAGAGGTTCTTACACACACGCTTTCACACCCACACACACAATAAATATTCCCTTCACTGTGTGATTTTTGAAGCCAACAAAAGGCATTTGGAGTCATAGCTGATCAAGCAAATATGTGACCAAATAAGGCCCTTTGCAGGAGAAAAAGTGATGCATATAGGTACTAAATAAACATTAAGATGATAATAAAGAAGTACCAAATAAGCATTAATACTGCTGGATTTTCCAGAAAAAATAATTTTCATTTCCAGCTTTGGTAACAAGGTAGCATTAAAAATGGTATTTTTAGCATAATGATCATTTTCCTGGGCCACTTCAAGTTTCCAGTTCCATTGAAATTATAGTTTTGCATAAAATATCAACAAGCAAAATAATTACAATATTTAAAATGCAGAAAATAGTTCGTCTATTCATTCTTTTCGATTATTTCTATTTATTCTCTAATAATAATTTGTTATTATAGATACAACTTTAATTATACTAATTCAACTAGAGATTTTTATTTGCATTTCCTAAAGTTGACGATATCAAGATATATGATAGATTCATTTTAAACTTACTGTGAAAATGTAATAAACTGTGATAAACAACATTTTTCAATTGGATAGAGGACAATATTTTTTAAATCTAGAACTAACAACCTAGTTTTTAACTTGTTAATATTAAGCGGAATGAGTCAGAACTATAATTTAAAAGTACACAATTGTTATTTGTTATATCTTAGAAAAATTCATGTTGAAGTTTTCTTATGAAATATTTCCTACTGAAATTACCAATCAATGTTTATAATATAATCTTTAATACTGCACATATATAAGCCCCAAATATTAAGGCAGTCTCTAACTTAAAGAATTGAATTCACTCAGGAAAGTTTGATGCATTATACTTGTTCATCTACTGTAAAATACATAGTTAGCAAAGGAGATGCAATTACCATGATAAGAAAATATTAAAGCCCTAAAGCTTGGATAGATTTCTTTGCCAAAATGTCAAAAGAGAATTACATGAAAGTTTAATTTTTAAATATTCATGCTATCTTATTCTTTGAAGTTGCTTATAGATTTTATTTACTGACAGTAGTACATGGAAATTAGCAAATTCATGATCTTTCCTCAGAAAGATTAAATGCTTTTGCATTCCAGGAAACTATATGAAAATCATTTTTCCCTTTTGTCTAACGCCAATTTTGTATTATTATTTCATTTATGGAATATGCTGTCAACTTCACAGCATGAGCTTTGGAGAGAAGAAGCCTTGCTTTAATAGTTCTTCTTTACAATATTGCCTCCAGAATCTTATGATTAGCTCACTTAGGCTTGACATTTATAAACTACAGTTTTTCCTTGATAAGAGATAACACTGCTAGCATTTCTAAAATTCAGAAAGATAATTCTATTCCTAGAAAGTCAGAAAATAAAAATAAGATTTTATTATTTGTTCAAAGTTCAATAAAATTTTAATGTTTTTCCTATGTTAGCATAGTCCATAATTTCTAGATTCCAGTTGCATGTAATAATTTCCTCATTTAGGAAATTTATGAGAAAGTATTCATAAGCAGTTTTCAGAAAATTATATGATTTATTCTTTCAAGCATATAACTATTTTTCAAGCGGCCATATCAATACAATGATTTCCAGTTTTGACCAGTTTTTTCATTATGTTTTATCAGATAACCAAAGTTGGTTCACTACCAAATCAAAGTAAAATCTGCCTTAATTTTAAAATTAGTATTTATTGTAGTTTTACAATACAATTTTAAAAGTAAGTTCCTTACTTCTTCTTGTGCCTTATGGTGTTCCTTTGCTGTCAGTGAAAGAATGACTTTTTCGGTAATTTTCCCTTTCTGTTCATCCACAGCCAGGTTCAACTAGAGAAATAAATAAATAAGTAAATGACATGAAAATAGGCACCTATTGACACCTAATAGCAATGTTTATTCAAACAACTAATTTAGCATAATCATGGAAGATGATTTCAAATTAATTTGGCCCATACGTATGTGAAAATGAATTCCATTTAGATTAAATAAGTCGAAATGTTTTTATATTTAAAACATTTAACACTATTTTTCACTTCCACTTTTACTGTTTTTAAGCTTACTAAAATATGATTTGGGAAGGGGTCCTTAACTGCAGACATTTGACACTGATGAGTACCTTTTAAAAGCATTTTGTCAAAATTAACATAGCAAAATTTTTTAAAATTAGGCTGATATTCCTATTCAAATCTTTCATTGCCAGTAGGGAATAAATTGGCTGCTGTTATGTCAGGATAAGAATTCAAGGAAATAAACCAAAAGCAAATGTCAATTCACTCTCGAATGGTTCAAAATGATTCACAATATTTCACGACAAAGAGTAAGTTTTACCTTAAATACCTGAACGGTTACTTCCAACCTGCTCCATGAACAGAGCCAGATAGAGGTCTTCTACTATTGGTGTAAACCCATGTCATAAAAAGGTGAATGTGGCTCATTCTATATTTCTTTATAAACAATCCCCACCAAAACAAAATGCTCTTTTCAAAAACAGGAAAAAGCTAAACTCACACAGTAATATTCACTCAGCAGATTGGTATTAATAGGAAGAAAGAAAATAACAGCCTGATACAGAACCTTCTGAATTGGAATATTTAACAATTCTTAAGCAATGGACGTGCCATGTAGTATCTCCTTATTGAAGATTAAGAATGAATAATGACCATGTTTTTTGTTTTGTTTCTTTTGTTAATGCTGTTGTTATTTTAAATAGGCTTTCTCAATTGTATGCCTGGCAAATCATGTTTGAGTTAACATGAATCTTTAATCTATACCCTGCCTGAAGACACACTCCTATACTTGGGATAGAATGGGAGTGGGAGTCAACAATATAACCTCCTCAATCTACCTATTCTTATATACTATAAGAATAGTATCAAACCTGTGAAGTCTTCATCTACTCATATGTGACACAGCTCAATTTATCAGAGATTCTGTTTTGGGAGAGGAGAAAAGTCTAAGGAATCCTTAGGTGATCCTAATGATCAATTTAGATAAGGAGTTGACAAACATTTCTATAAGAACCAGATAGTAAATATTTAGGCTTGGGGGAAAGGGGGACAGACAAGTCTCTTTTGCAATTACTCAACTCTGCCCCCATAGCATGAAATAGAAAATACATAAACAAATGAGCGTGGCTATGTTCCAACAGAACTTAAAAAACAAACAAGAGGCAGACTGAATTTGGACAGCAGGAAATGTTTGCAAATGTTTGCCTGTCCTAGACTGAGAACCACTGAAAACAAGTTTTTTTTTAAAAAAAAAAACAAACCAACATGTGATATACATGATGACTACAGTTATAATGCTATATGGTATATTTGAAAGTTTGTTAAGAGAGCAGATCCTAAGAGTTCACAACAAAAAAAACCATTTTTTTTAAACCATATGAAATGGTGGATGTTAACTAAGCTTACTGTGGTAATCATTCACAATATATAAAAGTCAAGTCAAAAAATACAATAATAATAATTTTTTAAAAAGCCATCATTGGGGCTTCCCTGGTGGCGCAGTGGTTGAGAGTCTGCCTGCCAATGCAGAGGACACGGGTTCGAGCCCTGGTCTGGGAAGATCCCACATGCCATGGAGCAACTGGGCCCGTGAGCCACAATTACTGAGCCTGCGCATCTGGAGCCTGTGCTCCGCAACAACAGAGGCCGCGATAGTGAGAGGCCTGCGCACCGCGATGAAGAGTGACCCCCACTTGCCACAACTAGAGAAAGCCCATTCACAGAAACGAAGACCCAACACAGCCATAAATAAATAAATAAATAAACACATTGTGTATTATAAAAAAAAAAAAAAAGCCATCATTATGCTATTCACCTTAAACTTACACAGGGCCATATGTTAATTATATCTCAATAAAAACTGGGAAAAATCATCATGTGAAGCTATTCTTAGAATCAATCTCCCCAAGAAATATTTTTTCCTGTGCTAAAGTAATACAGAAAATGTACTATTATAAAAAGTCAAATATCAAACTCAACTTCCACATAAGGAAGCCTATGTGTAAACTGTGGCACAACGTACTTGTGTCAAGTCTCTATGATTACTTCTTTATCAGGGGAGTCTCATTTATCAGGGAAGATATGTGAAGGAGAGTGACTGGGGAATATTCACCAAGGTCACCTTTTCTTCGCAAAGTTAATTTCCAAATGCAAAAACATTCAGAGCAGATCTTTTTTGAAGGGAAGCAAAACAAAACAAAAACAGAGCTATAAAACTCTTTGGTGCCACTGCAGTAGGTCCGATTCAATGTGGTCTCCCAGGACCATGACATGTAGAACTGCTTCCAAGTAACTCTTTAAGAGGTAGGAATTCTTTACCTATAAAACCACTACAGTTGGAAAAATCATCTCATTCTAACACTCAACTTCTAGCACTATCCTAATCTACATAAGCTGAGGGAAAAACATATCAACATTACTGAAAAGCATCATATGCATAGTACCAAATAGAGAACCCAGTAAGATACTGAGAAATAAACTGTCAACAAAACATAAGGATACATACATGGGGCCTTTTCTGAAAACAGCCCAGACATTCAAAAAGAGAGATATCTTAATACAGTCATTTAGAGGAAATTATTGAAAGTAAAAAGTCAAATTAAGAGAACACATTTTCACTTTGAGGTATTAATAATATGCAGTGCAAACAGCATCTCTCCCTCAAATTCCAGACACAATAACAACAGAAAGATTCTTCTCTCCTGTCACTTTGGAGGAGAACATCCTGTTTCTTCATTAAGACAAAACTAGATGCTTTTTATTTGCTGTTCTTCCTTAAAATATATGAAATAATTTTTTGTCAATGGGCTTGAAATTTCTGAGGCTAATTTTCATATATAAAGAGGTAGACACTTCAAATTAAAAATCAAAACAAACAGGAAGGATGAACCTTGAGGGCATTATCCTAAGTGAAAAAAGTCAGATGGAGAAAGATAAATAGCATATGATCTCACTTACATATGGAATCTTAAAAAAGAAAAAAAGCTCATAGATACAGAGGACACTGGTGGTTGCCAGAGGTGGAATGGGGGTTGAAAGGTGGGCAAAATGGATGAAGGAAGTCGAAAGGTACAAACTTTCAGTTATAAAATAAGTAAGTCATGGGGATGTAATGTACAGCATAGTGACTATAGTCAATAATAGTGTATTGTGTATATGAAACTTGCTAAGAGCGTAGATCTTAAGAGTTCTCATCACAAGGAAAAAAATCTGTAACTATGTATAGTGAGGAATGTTAACTAGACATTGCAGTGATATTTCTCAATATACCACAATAAAAAAACAGAAAGGGCTTCCCTGGTGGCACAGTGGTTGAGAGTTCGCCTGCCGATGCAGGGGGTGCGGGTTCGTGCCCCGGTCTAGGAAGATCCCACGTGCCGTGGAGCGGCTGGGCCCATGAGCCATGGCTGCTGAGCCTGAGCGTCCGGAGCCTGTGCTCCGCAACGAGAGAGGCCACAACAGTGAGAGGCCCGTGTACCGCAAAAAAAAACAAAAAAACAAAAAAACAGAAAGACGGCTAAAATTTGTATATAACTATGAAAAGCCAAATCTCTACCAAACAGGGGAATGGAAAATCAAGTCGCTTTTTTCTAACTACATCATGCCCTTTTAAAATGTGAGAAAACACCCCCAAATATTTGTGATACACATCAAAACTTACCAAGCTAAATAGGAAGGTTTAATTCACCATTTTCACCAGAGCTTGCTGCTAAGATTTTAAAAATATGTAAGTAACAAACACTGGCTATCCTAAATTAGGTTAAAGTTGGCTCATTCAATATTAATGGTAACCAGAAAAAAACAGACAAGAGACTACTCAAAGACAGTAGCAGATATGGAAGAAACAACGAACACAATGGCTCTGTCAAAGAAAAATGAACAAAATGATTCAAGACAATGGTCTGGTTAGAGAAACAAGATTAAAAAGGAGTAAATTCACCTCAAACAATTTGTTTAGGAATTAAGAAAAGAAATCCACAAAAGTATACCTGAAACAAGATTCCAATGAAGTGATTTCCAGTGGTTGTTACCTTTTAGACTATATTCTACATAAAACTATTAATGCTAACATAGCAGACATTATACTTTCTCTAAAGCCCTAAAGGGTCATAGATTAGTAAAGTATATTTAGTTTTATACAAAACATATGGCCCATTGTGACTATAATAGAAAGTACTCTTAATTTTGAGGAATTCTTCAAACATTTGCTGGCTCAGGAAAGCTCTACTATGGACATCCTAGAGAGGAAAACAGGCTCAAAACCTCCTGTTGGAGAAATACAGACAGAACAACAGTAATCTCATTTTATTGTATCATTAACATTATATGGCTTTTCTGTCCTGTTTTTTTAACTCCCAGAAAAATATTTTAAGGCATATTTATGAAAATCATAAAGACTAATTGTGTAAAAATTTTAACATGATATTAAGATAAAATAAAATCAATTCTATAGGAGAAAATAAATCTAAAGTAAACTCTAGAGTGTAGTTATTAATATTTTTAGAAAAGCTACAGTAATCAAACACTGGTATGTTCTATCTAATTCATATTGACATTCCAGATAGGTACCAGCCAAAGAGGGAAGAGTCTATTAGTCTAACCAAACTGTCAGTGCTCTGAACTGTAGTTCTGCAAGCAGTTTTCTCTGTATTCTCCAGAAAAGCAGCTAAAGATTTAAATGTGAAGCATATGATATGTGTTGTGTATAATGTTCTTAATAAAGCAACATAACCCAAGAAGAAAACTGAATCTTTCTATCAAAAATCTTTTTGACCAGTAAATATTGATCTATTAATAAATTATTTGATCCATATTTTACAT